ATTTTGCAGTGTTTTAATTTTCAGCAATTCTAATTTAATTTAATTTTCATTTTATGTGTAACCAATGCTTGTTCACAATATCTATGAAGATTCTCAGTCATCCAGGCCACCACTTATCCCCCACTTACAATGCTGTCCTTTCATCACTTCCCAGGAAACTCAACAAACGTAACCTATTGGCCTCAGGTGAAGATACCAACGATGGTCGTTCAGTCTTGGCCACAGGTATTCTTAACGACTGTAACGACTGTCGTCACAGCAACAAGGAACACTAACGAACCAGCGGTATTGATGACCCGGGCCAACGACCCCACTGAGGTTAAATAGCTGAGTTTCCCTGCCAGTCAGTCAGAACTGAAGAAGTCCTTTGGATGAGGGACGAAACGTCTTCCAGTACCTTCAACCAAGTCCAGTTGCCCTTGATTTTAACCTTCGTTGGATACTTGTTCACAATACTTTCTCACACAATTCCTTTAGAAAGGATGATAAAGAAATGTCATCCTATACTCGATTAATGTGCCAGCTTGAATTTAATGTTAACTAACCAAATTCCACAGCTCCTGAGCAAAGATTGTCTTAGGATTAATCCAACCTATCCTCATGTTAAGTATAACAGGCCATCGTCTGAAATGCCGTTAATGTATAAATGTCACTCGGTATTTATCATGTCCAATAATCTGATGCCATTCGTGTGTTTTGCTTATATTCTCTAAGAACGTGTAACAGCCAATATATCCATGAAAGCTAGTTAAATACCTCTCCTCTTATATCATTCTGAAATGCTAACCTTTTAAAGGTCTAACTACAGACAATTGTTTTCCTGTTATCAAATGCTTAAACTTAACTAACCGTTTGACAATTGAGGTTTGATTGTGGGAAGATATTTGAATACAATACGCGCCAATAGATTTGTTTTTGATTAGTCTTTTTGATGTCTAAAGGAAGAAAGTCCCTCGGGAACCGGAAACAAGCCCTCAGGGAAACAAAAGACTGCCCTCTGGGAACCACGCCCCAACCAACAAAAGCGCGACACATGCTGTCGTTTGCCCTCTTGTGCTCTTGCTCTCTTGTCCTCTGCTTGGTCCTGGCTCTTCGGCACACGCACAGCTTGCCCCCCCTCTCCCGGCAATGCCCCAAGAGTTTGGCCCGACGCAACAAAAGCCTTTGTTCGTTTCAAGCTACACACACGAAGTCATCACCATCCATAGCCTAGTATCAACCGAACCAAGACAACAAGTCTTGAAGAGAAAGGTGGCACGATGGGTTTTTCCTCTTGGCAAACTTCTAGATGACTCCAAGTTTTTCTCCACTTGGCTCCATTTGGCTGTTCAACACCTTTAAAACCAACTGTACAATATGAAAACAAACCATACAACCTGTTAGTTACACTCCCCCCCATATCCTTAGCACCAGGATCCTGATTGTACTCTGCATAAGGAAGAGGAGAGGTTAAACAGAAGACATCACAGCACATGGGTACAGGATAGCATGTCCACCACCAGCTTGTTTGACCCTTTGATGTCCAAATAGTATGACTGTAAAATGAGAGACCATCCAATTGCTAACTGTAACTTCAAGAACTGAGGAATGTCAGGATTATGATCTGTAAAACTACAGGCACCCCGGAACCCACATACACATGTAAATGAGAAAACACCCACACTAAAATTAGAGTCTCTCGATCACAGAATAGTTAGGTTGATGCTTGTTAAATTTCTTAAGAGTAGAAACCCACAGGTTTGTCCACACTGTGACTGTCAGACTGCATCAATACTGCACCTGCCCCCATGTGACTGGCATCCACCTGCAGACTGAACGACTTCAACACAAGGAGCGGCACGCACTGGAACACTACATTTTAGTTCTTTGGCCTTCTGAAAAACCTGCAGACAGACAGACCACATAAATTTAATATTGCCTTCAACAAATCAGTGAGGGGAGCAACGACAAAAGAAAAGTTTTGACAACTTCAGTAGTAACCCAGCATCCCCAAGACCCTCCGTTCCATTTTAGTTTTAGTTTGAGGGGGAAACTGCTCTACCACCTGCACCCTCGACGTCTACCAGTTACTGACCGGCAGAAACCACTAGTGTTTGCAGGTGCCACAGGCCAATAGGCACAGGATGATCTGATAGTTCTGTAGAACGTTAGCTTGCTTTTAGCAATGGTGCTAACCCGTAGCTATCTGCAGACTAGTATAGCTCTCGACACACAGTACAATACACAAAACTGTGTAGCAGTGTGACACACTTATTATAAACTAGCCAGGCTCCTAACTGTCTCCGTATATTTATCAAATTACACTTTTCCATCTTCTGCAGACTCTTGCCACCTCCAAAGAAAAACACACAGCAGCAACAGCCTGACCAGTTACTCCAATCTGCGCTGCCCATTAGTCCCGCCAATTTTACACCACGCCAATCACAATTTTAGAAACGTGATAGCCATCTGCACGAACGAATCGAAGGCCTCTCTTAAAATAAACATCATCATCTATCACTCCTCAGGGTCAGAGGTCACCCTCTTAAAGTAACGGAGCCTAATGTGACAACAATTATATGCATTCGAAACTGCCTACTATACTAGTAGTACGTACCCATTCGGCCCAAATGTAGTATGTAGTATACAAACAAAAGCAAAATCTGCAGTATGCCAATAATGCCCGGATAGTGTACTGATTTGGGAAAAATCTGCAGTACGCATCGGACCAGTCTACCTCGCGTACTGTGGCCCATAATGCAAAGCGCTAGAACTGTAACAACAACCTGTCTTTTCTTTAGAGGAAAACAACAGAACTTGTTTTACAAGTTCTGCTGTTTCACACGCTGTTTCATCACTAAATCCACTTCTAACAAGTTTTGAGGTGAGAAATCAACTGTGTAGATTTTAAATACAGTTTTATGAAAATTGTTGGCGAATCGAGAATGTGCTCGAACGTTTTCGGAGTTGAGGAGCTTGGGTTAGCTAGCCCGCGGGGTTAGCTAGCGAGCCGGTGTGACACCAAAATGTGTGACCTATCAGATTCTGTGACCCAAATGGGAAGTTAAGCGCCACAGGCTTTGATGACGATGTGAAGCGGTTGCAGCTTGGTTTAGTTTAAGCACCAAAAGTACTTGGTTGGGTTTAGGCACCAAAAGTACTTGATTATGGTTAGGAAAACATCGTCGTTTGGGTGTAGTCACAGAATCTGATAGGTCACACATTTTGGCGTATCACCGGCCAGTCAGCTCACGGAGCACCCTGGTCCTCACGTTAGCTCACGGAGCTCACAGCCACACAGAGCGCTGCAGCCAACGCAGCAGACGAGTCGAGCAGCAATGTGAGAGTAAAGACCCGCAGCTGTGAGACAGTTTAAATGTTCGTACCGCTGTTATTGTATCTTTACATTCTGAGTTATGTTGTAACGTTTTAACTTATATCAAGAGACATCTGGCTCGTGATGGACAGGCTTGTGTAACTTAGAAGCACTTAACAAAAAACAATAGTGGTATGAAAGGTTGCTTTATTATTATTATTCTAAATAGACATTACATTGTTAGTGTAATGTTACAGTTGTGGTTATAGTAACTTGCTTTTTATTTGCTTTTATTTTATATAATTCTTATTTATGCACCAATATACCGAAGCAAACATCTGCTAGTTTTAGTGACATCTAGTGGTGAGGGTTGTGAATTACAATGCATTTCACCCCTCCCTCCCTTATCCAAGTGAGAAGTATAGCTATGGTGCCTAAAAGACAGGACAAAAGATGTCAACTATGAGATAGCGGAGAGTTTCCAGTCAAGAAATTAGGTTTCTTTAGATAAATATATCTAAAGAAATTATATTTACTTAATTCAGTAAAACCATGTGTTTTTGTCAATATTTTTACTTGTTCATTAAACAACAGACACATCTAGAAATGAAGTACTACATGATGTCTCACTCCTGTAATACATTATTAAATTATTTATACATTATTTAAAAAAAAAACCTCAAACCCAGGGGTTACATAATATTTACAGTCTATAGCATTTTATGTATATGCCCCTCGCCAGGGGGGCCACTGGGCCCTACCTTGACGCCGCATTTACTGTGATATATCATGATATATATGGGGGTAGCGATGGCGCAATGGATAAGACGCATGCCTTTGGTGTGAGACCCGGGTTCAATCCACCGTTGTGTCCCTGAGCAAGACACTTAACCCCTAGTTGCTCCAGAGGCGTGCGACCTCTGACATGTATAGCAACTGTAAGTCGCTTTGGATAAAAACGTCAGCTAAATGAATAAATGTAAAATATCCCCCATGTAGCAGACTGGTCAACTCTCCAATCTAGCGTTCCCTTGAACTTGCCCCTAATTTCACAATCTGTCATGAAAACGGCATAAAACAGTCTGATCCTGACTGGATTTTTGCACCGAGAGTTTCTTTTGTTTGTCTTACTGAAAAGAGTTGACCTGTTCCTATTCTAAAATAAACGAGGTCTATTAATGTACTTTACTATTGAATTTGCGCACCTCATCATTTTAAATAAAATATTGTTTCTGCTGCTCCCATGAGATTTTGTCAGCTCAACTATGGTATATTACATACTCACTGGAGCTGGAGGTGGTTTATTAAATGTCTTGTGTATACACATTAATTTCAATATAGCTTTCATTATTTTTTAAACACGACCTCAACACTGAGAAAGTGTCACTTGTCTCAAAAGTATAAAAAAAATAAATGTAAAAGACTCTTGCATTTTGCTTACCACTTACAAAACATAACATTAATTACTGGAGTGTATTTAGATATACGCAACTAGAGAAAATAACCTTTAGGTGTAAGTGTTTTTTCTCTTGGGCAATTTTTTTATCTAAAATGAGGACTACAGAACATAAAAACTTTATTTAATTAGTTATATACTAATGCACTCTAAATGAACATGGAGTAATTAAACATTAGCTTTTTTATTATAGATATGACAAAAAAGTCCTTTCACTGATCCAGATTCTTTAAAATGCAATACTTGATACTGACTAAATATTACATCTATAGTATGTACATGTGATTCAACACGAAGTAATTACTCATTACAAGCACTGATATCAGGATTAGGCTGCTAACAAATGACAGCTGTGTGTATGCACATATGCCCATGTGTGCTTCCAAGAAGGCAAAGGTCTGCTCGGTAAATATGACAGGAACAGATAACACGACTCTCACTGGATAATGAGACAGGAAGAAATGTTAAGGGAGCCCTGGGAGAGACATGTAATGAAGCATTGTTTGCAGGATGAGAATACACACACACACACACACACACACACACACACACAGGTAATGAAGCATTGTTGGGGGTTGAGCCTGGCTGAGGCTGATAACATCCCGTTGCGCCTGATGGAGGACAATGGGCCGTAGAAATGGAACCACACCGTCTGTGCACCAAACTCAACCATCTCCACCCCTCCACACACACACACACACACACACGTACCTGTAAGTGAGGCTGAAAGATAACCGGTGGGTCTAAAGAGGAAAAGAGGTCTGAAAACGATGTTCCGCCCTCGTTCTTGTTGCACAGCTCTGTTCCTTGGTCAGCATTGATAGTCACCGGCATCGACCCCTGAGCCCGATGCGTCCCACCAACTAGTTTAATTAAAAGACACATTTTCATAAAAGGAGAGCCAGGAGATCTCAGTGGGAACAACTATATATGGACACTTTCCAGAAAAATGTTATGGTAGCTGAGAAGTCCCGCAGAAGCACTGCTTAGGTTGCTGAATGATTTCTCTTCCTTTTTGTCATGCTACGGTGGTTTTTGTTTGCCAAAAGATTAGCCCACATTCTCCAGAATATTTACCACAGCGCCTGTTTTTTTACTAGTGTCTCGGAGGTGTATTTGATGCAGGTAGTTAATTATATGATGAGTGGGTTAGCCAATGCAGACTGGTAAAACTCCCATTGGGCTTTTGTTTCCAACATCCTGCTCCTGTCTGTGATTCTTGTAACTCACACACAGGCAGAGTAGAATGGGACTCCGACTCGACTTGCAACACAAATGAAATTCGAATGTTTTATCAGCGTGAGCAGATGGAGAACACCCTCTGGAAACTGATGGCACCTCACTGTACACTATAGTCTAGACAGAGTTCTTACCAGCAGCGAGGGTTCAGAAATTATTATGTGGTGTGTTATGTTTGGAACGGCTGTTTTGTTTGCTGGAATAATGAAGTGATATTGATACGGCTCAGGCAACAGAGAAATATGAGTACTGGAAATGGATTCTAAGAGTCAATTAACCCTGGATAGATGGGGGTTGCAATGCACTTGCTTCCAGACACCAGTCTTAAATTTTGGATCTCATGCAAAGGAAGCCTGAGGAAGAATGTCTGCTTTCCATTATGAAAAGGCTGGCATCCATTTCCCTGAGATAATTTCAATTATATGAAATAAGCAAGGAATTTTCTAATTAAAAATGTGTCTCGGATATGGTGGACTTACGAATAAAAATTGCATCAGGAGGAAAAGTAGAGAAAGCACATGATACATTTGAAGCCTATTTGTGCTTGCTGTGTAGTTGTATAAACTGTAACCTGAGGAATAGTCTGCTCATTTTGAAAGAGATTGGGCCGGGGTGGCGATGACACAGTAGATTAGACACATGCCTTTGGTGAGGGAGACATGGGTTCCATTCCCACAGTGGCATCAACGTATGTGCCCCTGAGCAAGACACTCAACCCCTAGGTTCTACAGAGGCGTGCAACATCTGACATATAAAGCAATATAAAGCAAGCCGCTTTGATAAAAATAAGTGTCAGCTAAATGACTAGGCTAGAGATTCTTCTATTATAACCCAGACGTGCTGTTTTATGCTCAAGTACAGTCATTCAAACTGCAGAGGAAGCACCTTCATGGCATGTATTTCTTTCCATTTCTCAGCTCTCTTCTCTTCCTAATGAGACATGTAGGTCGACACTGTAACTCATCAGACGGCACCACACTGTTCAGCTACCCATCTTTATTGGTATTCCTGGCATCCGGCACACACCCACCACAATCTGGGGCTGCCTCCCCATCAACCCCATGCCAAATGCTGTGGCCTGGTTTACAGACAATCTGCTGCCCAGCAGGAAGAAGTGTGAAGAGCGCTGCAGAGTCCCTCGCAGGTTGACCTACAGGGAACAAACCCTCTGTAGCTTTCAGGCTAAATTCCAGTCCTCTATCATATCTACATGGTTGTCACAGTTACAGAAACTGGGCTAATACATCATAGATATTATATTACATAGACATGTTACATAGATATTCTACAAATTAAGTGGCTCATGCAACTTAAACATGTAGTTTGACAATTATTTAAAATACTAACATTAAGTCTGATGTTCTAACCCACACTGATACTGATTCAGTTATTTGACACACACACCCAAGAATGGCGAAATCAGATTATGAAATTAAACAAAAATAAATAAATATAGAAAATTAGGACCCCCTCAAAAATGAGATGGTTTATATCAAGGGGTTTATCCTATTTAATAAACTTGTACAAATTTGTAGTATGGTCCACGGAGGATGAATAATAACGTTTTTGATGAGCCTCTGAACTTTCCCTTTATGTAACTTACATGTAAACCTATAATTACAAGTCAGCTAAAGTCCTATGATTTCAGCAAACATCCAATGGAAGCCAGTTCATATTAAGATGGTTTTTACAAATGTATATGATTTGTAATAACATTTCAGTATGTATTTATCATGATTAGCTATGTTAGCATAATTTCAAAGGGTGACAGGAATGACGTCATTAGTTTAAGAAATATAATTTGTGTGCTGGAGCAATGGACAAGTGGAAATTTGAACCTACTGGCAGTGTTGGATGAAACCAACCAGGGCCGGCTAAAGATATAGGCCATTTAGACAGGCGCCTAGGGCACCGCCCTGTGCTGGGAGCGCTGGTCACCCTGAAGAGAGAAAATACAAATAAATAAATAATAAAATAAATACAAAGAGTCAGATCATCAGGTTTTACTGATTGTTGCTGGTACAGGCAAGTAAACCCAGAGGGAAATGGTGATCTACGACTGAACAACAACAGGTGGCACTGGAATACCACCTGTAACACATCTCCTTTTTCATCAAGTAAAGAAAACTCCTCTTGTAATCACAAACTGTGACTTAACAAATGACCTTGTTATACAAATGAATATAAAAATGAGCTGGATCTGAAATACACTTAAACAGCCCTACTACCTTCTTTTTGTTGTTGCTCAGGTTCTGCAGATAACAGTCCATACCAACTTACAGGTTTAGTCGGTTGGGAGACCTAATCTGACAACCGCATCAAGTGATAGCACGGGAATAAAGTGAAAACGGGACAGCAGATGTGTCCAAAGTCTGTGGTGGGCCAGAGGCATGTTGACTTGAGTAGGTTGAGGGGAGGACACGCATCCCCTCTCACCTCATCTCATTTCACTCTGCTGCTGAAACGTGCATTTAGCTAGAGGCTTCATCTCCTGTGCCTGCAGTGTACTCCGGCAAGCATCTCCAGACTTAATGACTTTGGGATCACATCTCTTTGTCCTCTGAATTCATCCTGAACACTCAGCTCCTCTTTGATGGGCCAGTACTCTCTGACTGCAACCTCCATGTCATCGTTGTTAATCGGGTCAATGCTTCAGGATGGTAGCCTTCATTGATTGTAACTGACGGTCATTGTCTGTGTGTTGTTGAATCTGTAACTGTCTCCTGTATGTGACATTAAAATAATCAGCAATACTGATGTGCTCAATCGGCAGCTGTTCGTCCACGATACTGCAAACCGTGTGCTCTGCGTGTATAGGGCCAGGATGGGCTTTGGAAATGACAGCGCTGCTTAATGTGTCACTGACAAACATTTCCTGTCCTGTTTTATAGATAACTCGCAGGTTATGATTCTGGAGAGCCAGTAGCATGCTCTGCAAGCGCTTGGGAGCATTAAGATCGCTATGAGGGGCTTGTGATCTGTCAATGCTGTGATACTATCTCATCCATACAGATAATGATGGAAACGCTGGCAAGCAAACACTATGCTGAGAAATTCCTTATCCATCTGCGTATAGCTCAACTCCGTGGGGGGGATGCCCTCCATGCAAAAGCAATAGGCTGCATGGAGCCACTCTATGCTGTGACGGATTTTGAGACGTCGTAGTAGCTCAGCACCAGCATCATTGTCACAAGCTGTTTTATCTCTCTGACAGCCAGTACCAAACTCTGGGTGTGACGTCAAACTTTTTCTGGATCAGATTTGAGACCTGCAGCTGACAGCATGTGGCCGTGAAAATGCATCTCAGACAACTTGAACGTTACTGAAGGACACACATGCACAATACACACTGCTCATACTCTACAGTCTGCAGACACCTCATCAACTAGAACATTTCCTAAAGTTCTAGTCCAGCAAGGCAGAGTTAGTTAGCAGAATGCCATTTTGGGTAAAATCAGACTTAACATTTCCAAAAACAAAAGACAGGAGAAGTAGCCACCACCACTACTTTTGCAGAAAATTTGTGAATGTAGAGAAAATCAAGGGAAGCTGGGTGGCATATTCCAAGAAAGACAATAGTTAAATAGAATATTCTTTACTGCTTCTGCTGCAAGCTGTTCTCACAGAAAACACAAACTATTACAGAAAAATTGCAGTGAAATATTCAAAACCAGTAAGAACAGCACATGATGTTGTGGAAGGAACTGGAGACTTATCTTGAAAAGGGCCAAACAATAGATAGAAGTAGAAGTGGCACTTCTAGAGGCTGAAAGGAAGAGGTGGTGTGAAGTCCTGAACAGGTTGGTGGCCATAATTAATTTGTTGGGAGAGAGAAATATTTCCAAAGCAGCAAAGAAGTCCAGACGTGTCAGATTTTAAGGATATGTACCAGAGATGGAATATTTTAGTTTTACATGCCATTTCTATTCTTTAATTTGTACTTTTTTGCAAATGTTTACAGTCAATGGTTTTAGAGTGAACCTGACTGCAAGACTATTAGACTTGTTACTACTTTATTAATAATTGCTGTTATTCCTAGATAAAGACTATTACACATAGCACCCATTCAGTACATGTCGTTGAAGCCAAAAATATTCCCTGAAATAATTTTAATTTATACAACAACAAACCGTTTTGGTGCCTGATGTTCGCTGTCCATATTTTCACTTTTCACTAATCTTGCCTAGGGCACTAAAATGGCTCAATTCAGCCCTGAAACAAACAGTCATTAGGATTCATCCTCCTGGATGATCATTCTGTACCAAATTTGATGGTAATCTATTCAATAGTTTAAAGTCTAAGTCTAGTCTAAACTGACACTGACGACTGCACCTTGAGCCGTACACTGCTAATGTAGCTATAAACATGACATAGTGTCTAAGGCATCACATACGGGTTTATGAAGAGGCATTTTGAAGCTTGATTTTGTGACCAGAGGCAGACAATCTTAATTAAGGCAATACTGATGAACCTGGGTGGAGCTGGACACATGTAAGCTACTGCTCCAGTGAAGTGTTATAAGCTAAGACAATATTACTGCTTGGTGTTTTCTCCCACTGTGAGTCACATGTATGTGTGAATAAATGTATTTACTCACAGTATGTTTTACACTCCCACGGTGCAGCACTGGTTGGATGTGGCGTGATCATTGCTTGACTTCAGTCAGCATGAAACCTTCAGAGGTCACTGCAGGGGAGGAGGATCTGAGTGAAAAAAGAGGAGGGGGAGACCACAGCATTTGACATTTACTGACCTTTGGCTTTATTATCAGACACTCTGCAGGAGAGACTACTGAAGACAGAGCATGCAGAAAATTCTACACATACACATTAAAGGATTTCCTAACCACAAAATCTTCTGTGGCACAAAGCCACACAATTTTTCTTTACACCACTGCTGCACGTCACCCCACAGTGTTGGTGACTTCTTGTTCTCTGGTTTTGAGTCTCTTTTAGCATGTGGTTGAGATTTGAGCCATTTCAATTCCTGCCCCTGGCTCTCATTGAATAACCACCACAGCCCCCTCTGGGGGCTGAATCCCTCGTCATACCCTGCAACAGCACTGACAGAGAAGCATGGACTAAAGATCGACGCTCTATTTTGTTGTGATAATGCTTTATGGGGTGCCAGAGCACCCACATATAAAGTTTGTTATCTTTACAATCTTTACATTATGGATAACCAGCCCATTCTCAATTCTACAGTGTCAAATACCAATGCTTTGTCATATCCTTCGGCATCTTGTACAAACGCACGTGGCAGCCATTAGCATCATACTGCAGCAGCTGATTGGGTGCCTATTTCAAAGCATTATCCTGTACATTAATAAAACAAACTAACCTAATGCTACCACTTATAAAACCTGAATGGAAATGGCAATATATCAGAAAAAGTTTTTCCTCTCATCAAATGGTGGAAAACTTGGGGCACTATAATGAGATGATAAAGGTAATGAAAAAAAATATTTTAAATGATGTTGCTGTCAATTCGTAACGTTCTTTAATTTCTAGCAGTGCAGATGCAGCATCAGTGCATTGTTAGACTTGAAAAAATGCCTGCAGACAGTAATACCACGCTATATTTGTGGACCGATGAAAAAGTAATTTCATTCAAGTCTCTTATTTTAAAAATACAACAATCCATATTTCCTACCATCACCAGTTCATACAGCTGCTCTCAGTTTCCTAAGTCACACCTTGGCAATCAGGTATCACTGAAACTTCCCACCTTCTTTCTTGTGCAGTTTAACAGCCCTTGTGGTGAGCAGCCTTCATCTTGAAGAGCCAGGCCTTTCTGGTCAGCTTCAACACAAACACCTTTCTGTGTCTGTGAAAGCGCCATCAGTCAACACACATACTCAACCTGCTCTAAACACACAGACACACCAACCTGCTCTACAAACACAAGCATACATTTTAAAAATTTCACTTTTGATCTTTGTTCTGTAATTCATACTACCCATCGTATCTTCTAACTAAATAACATTTAAAGTAATGATTAAAAAGGAAGAAGACAGAAAAAAGAGGAGGGTAGGAGTTGGTAAGATGGAAAGTTTCAAAAATCAATACCAATTAGGATACTTTCTCACACTGAATCAAGATAAAAGCCACAGAAGTTGCCCAGAAACTATTCTGGGATTAATATAAAACATGTTTATTGTGATCCAACATTACCCACCCAAACTTTGACAACATGAAAGAGACTTTCTGCTCTACTTTTTGTTTTAAAATAAGGGGTGGCGATGGCACAATGGATAAGACTATATGTTGTGCGAGAGACCCGGGTTCAATCCCCCACTGTGACCTATCCACCAATGTGTCTCTGAGCAAGACACTTAACCCCTAGTTGCTCCAGAGGCGTGCGACCTCTGACATGTATAGCAATTGTAAGTCGCTTTGGATAAAAGCGTCAGCTAAATGTAAATGTCTTAGAAAAAAGGGTTCAAAATAAAACACGGTCATATGATGTTACAATTATTGCACTGTGTACCATGAAGAATGTATTGTCTAT